AGATTTCGGGCAAGAAAGGTCCAAGAAACATCGCATCTTGAGGACTCTGATGAGAATAGGGGGAGAAAAGTCATTCCCCCTGCCTAGACGATTTAGAGGTATTTAGATATGGTAGAATACATAGGTTAAAGATCTTCCCAAATTTTGTCACGTTTGTGTCTGTTTTGATCTTTTGTTTTCAGTTTTAGTCACATGTCTTTTGTTTTCCCGCTACTCTTTTGTTTCCATGCCAACCATCATTAGTTTACCTTCATCACCTGTGTCCTGATTATCACCTTCATGTGTATAACCTGGATATGTTCATCAGTGTCTGTATTTAGTTTGTTCTGTTCAGTCAGTCTGGGTCGGTAGTTAGTCTTGTATGGGCTATGTGCACAACCGTAGTTTCGAACTTCCGCTTTTGTCAGAAGTTGGCGTATCAGTTTCCGTCCTACGACTGGTCATTCGCATCCACTAATAAACAAACAAGATGAGTGCTGCTGTTGTACGAAAAAAAGAGTTCTTAAACACATCCAAGTTTCTTAGAACTGTAGTGGATCTAACGTCCGTTTCACACCCGTTTGCAGTGTGTGTTGCGGTGCAGGAGTGCGGTGCGGTGCTGTAAGTGCGTTCACATATTATGATGCGTTTACTTTGCACAGTGAATAACTGATCCGCCGCTGTATAACAAACACATACTTAATATTTTTATTATTTTTTGCGCGTCGATCAAAATGTCTATTTTGTGCAGCCACTGCGCACGAAGGTTGGTGTTTATCAGGAAGCAGTAGAAGCTCAAATGGCTGTAAGCGACTTGAAGCAGAGCAAGTGCCGCACAGCAGTCTCCTAACGCACCATGTTAACAGGTTAGGGCTTTCACTTTTCACTGGTGTGGTACATATAACAGCAGCACAGCGATCGTTTCCACACCGAATCTACAAACCCAATTCCATAAAAGTTGGGACACTGTACAAATTGTGAATAAAAACAGAATGCAATGATGTGGAAGTTTCAAATTTCAAAACATAGATGACATATCAAATGTTGAAAGTGAGACATTTTGAATTGCCATGCCAAATATTGGCTCCTTTTGGATTTCATGAGAGCTACAAATTCCAAAAAAGTTGGCACAGGTAGCAATAAGAGGCCAGAAAAGTTAAATGTACATATAAGGAATAGCTGGAGGACCAATTTGCAACTTATTAGGTCAATTGGCAACATGATTGGGTATAAAAAGAGCCTCTCAGAGTGGCAGTGTCTCTCAGAAGTCAAGATGGGCAGAGGATCACCAATTCCCCCAATGCTGAGGCAAAAAATAGTGGAGCAATATCAGAAAGGAGTTTCTCAGAGAAAAATTGCAAAGAGTTTGAAGTTATCATCATCAACAGTGCATAATATCATCCAAAGATTCAGAGAATCTGGAACAATCTCTGTGCATAAGGGTCAAGGCCGGAAAACCATACTGAATGCCCGTGATCTTCGGGCCCTTAGACGGCACTGCATCACACACAGGAATGCTACTGTAATGGAAATCACAACATGGGCTAAAGAATACTTCCAGAAAACATTGTCAGTGAACACAATCCACCGTGCCATTCACCGTTGCCGGCTAAAGCTCTATAGGTTAAAAAAGAAGCCATATCTAAACGGGAACCAGAAGCGCAGGCGTTTTTCTCTGGGCCAAGGCTTATTTAAAGTGGACTCTAGCAAAGTGGAAAACTGTTCTGTGGTCAGACGAATCAAAATTTGAAGTTCTTTTTGGAAAACTGGGACGCCATGTCATCCGGACTAAAGAGGACAAGGACAACCCAAGTTGTTATCAGCGCTCAGTTCAGAAGCCTGCATCTCTGATGGTATGGGGTTGCATGAGTGCTTGTGGCATGGGCAGCTTACACATCTGGAAAGGTACCATCAATGCTGAAAGGTATATCCAAGTTCTAGAACAACATATGCTCCCATCCAGATATCGTCTCTTTCAGGGAAGACCTTGTATTTTCCAACAAGACAATGCCAAACCACATACTGCATCAATTACAACATCATGGCTACGTAGAAGAAGGATCCGGGTACTGAAATGGCCAGCCTGCAGTCCAGATCTTTCACCCATAGAAAACATTTGGCACATCATAAAGAGGAAGATGCAACAAAGAAGGCCTAAGACAGTTGAGCAGCTAGAAGCCTTTATTATACAAGAATGGGACAACATTCCTATTCCTAAACTTGAGCAACTTGTCTCCTCAGTCCCCAGACGTTTGCAGACTGTTATTAAAGGAGGAGGGGATGCCACACAGTGGTAAAAATGGCCTTGTCCCAGCTTTTTTGAGATGTGTTGATGCCATGAAATTTAAAATCAACTTATTCCCCTTAAAATTATGCATTTTCTCAGTTTAAACATTTGATATGTCATATTCTATGACATATGTTGTATTCTAAATATAATATTGAAATTTGAAACTTCCACATCATTGCATTCTGTTTTTATTCACAATTTGTACAGTGTCCCAACTTTTATGGAATTGGGTTTGTATTTCTGCTGTGCTGCAAACGCTGGTGGTCAAAATGATTGACCTGAAAATGTAGTAATTTCACCATAAATGCGTTTAATTAAATAAAATGTAGTAATCTCACCATAAATGCACATTTAATCAAGGAAAACTACAATTTACTTCAACCAGGCGACAGAATGAACTCGTCTCGATCGTGGAGGTGGAAAAATAAGTTGTGACATGCAAAGATCTATTGTTTTAAAATTAAGATGCAAACGAAAAGGCAAGTCGGCTGCTTTTGTCAATTTCAAGTTTTAATTTAAATTAATTGCGATTTTAATATAGGAAATATTTGACCACTTGCTTGAGCAACTTGTAATGCATGGAGTAACTTACATTGTTTAAATTGTGTTTAAACGTGCATACTAAGAATCGCAATGCTGACACAACTTTTTGTTTTTAAAAATAAGTTGCAGCATAACTTCTGGACTTTAAATAAAAATATTAAGTATGTGTTTGTTGTACAGCCGCGGATCAGTATTCACTGTGCAAACGCATCATAATAGCCTAAATGTGAACGCACTAATAGCACGCTCCTGCACCGCAACACACACTGCAAACGGGTGTGAAACGGACGTTAGATCCACTACAGTTCTAAGAAACTTAGATGTGTTTAAGAACTCTTTTTTTCGTACAACAGCAGCACTCATCTTCTTTGTTTATTAGTGGATGCAGATGACCAGTCGTAGACCGGAAACTGATACGCCAACTTCTGGAAAAAAAAAAAAAAGCGGAAGTTCGAAACTACGATTGTGCACATAGCCTAGTCGTGTGATCTGCCTGTCTGAACCCTTCTGTTTGTACCTGCCTATTGTTATTATTATTATTATTGTGAGTAAATTGTTGCTATTTAGAGATTTTTGCTTGTGAGTCCTTCAACCCAAACACGCCGTGACAAATTTATTATGAAAGGTAATTTTTAAAATTTGTTTTTTTTTTTTTTGCAGAGGAAGAAGTCTTGCCCAGCCAGCCCAGAGGGGCAAAACAGGCTCAAAGCTGTAAGCATATAAACTATAACCGAAATGAGAATGATTATGAAAAGCCAAAATTTGTGTTCTCTATTAATGTTTAATTAAAATTTTGTTTTGCAGTTCATGAGAATGGTGGGTCGTCTCAAGGTGAATTCATTGTGGTGTGCTCAATGGTTTTAAATATCAGTGAGAATTTTTAAAAAGAGAATTTATTTAACTATATAACCTAATTCTTTATTTTCATTATTCCATTTGGCCTGGAAGACGAAATTACCAGCTTACAAGGAAAGAAAAGGAAAACAAAATCAAAAAACAGATCAACATTAGCAGAAACTACACTTGAGTGTAAGTAGAAAATGAATGTCACTTAAAATATATATATAAAGAGAAGTCAATATTGCCTACATGATTGCTGTCACTGTTTTCAGCTGTTGAGACTGACGAAGGTAAGACCACTGTTCTTTAGCTTTTATAGGTTTAAACAATGTTAAGTCTTTTTCACTCAGTTCTTTTTTTATTTTTTACATTACATGAGAAGCTGCAGCCAAAAAGAAAAAAACAAAGACAATCTCATTTGATGTTGCCCAATGCTCCTTCCTGTGAGTACATTTTGAGATAATTTTTCAGTAACTGAGTAATTATAGAAAGAAGTTTGAGATTGGGACTTAACAGCAACACATCTCTTTAGAACATTCATAATAATAAATGCTTTTTGAGCAGCTAATCAGCATATTAATGATTTCTGAAGGATCATGAAGACTATCCTAATTCAGCTAGTAATTAAACTGCATTTAGTAATTTACATTTACAGTACAAAAAATGAAATGTAGTAATAATTCACATTATAACGGTTTCAACTTTCCCCAGCTGGCATATGACCGACCTTCAACGTTGAAATATGGTTGAAATAATGTCAGTTGTTGTTTCAACAGTGAAACAACGTTGATATATGTTTAATGCTAAATGGTTGAAAAATGTTGACAAAACACTTCTTAATCAACGTTGAAGGTACGTTGAAACAACGTAATGTTTTCAACAACATACAACAGAAATATCTGCCTTATAAAGTATTATTATGATCATTATTAGCATAATGATATTCCGATAATACAACCTTTCAATAGATATGTTAAAATATAATTATTATCATTATAGACAACTCTCCAATAATTTAAACCTCAAGAGCAGAAACTTTTTGCTTTATGTGATTTTGTGTGGATTTACAAGTGTGCTTACCCAACCATGCTGTCATGAAAACACCATTTGACAAATTAATTAAATAAATACAGACTGAAAATAAAACTAAATACACTACACATTTGACTACGTCACCACGCTGAAACTACTGGTTGTTTCACCGGTTTACTTTGATCATGATTGGTTAATCTTTCTGTCTTCCAGGAAACTGGCCAATGACAAAATGCGCGCCTATTTTAGGTTTGAAAATACGTCCGTTACTGTTTGAGTCGGTGACGTGACGTGTGAGATGAACAGCTGCTCTGCTGATACTACCCCGTCGGACACGGATTATTTCATAAATTCTTGTTAAATTCTTATTTTGAGCGAATTTGAGTTGTGATATGTCAATGAAGGACAAAATGCTGGAATGTGAACAGAGGAAGCGGTCGTAACGTCTATAAAAATACGGGCGAAATCACTTAAGGTAAGACGACATTTTTCATTCTTTAACAGTCTAACGTGGACGTTAAACGTTATGTTCCTGTAATGTATACGAGTGAAACTGTGGTAACGTATACATACATTATGTTAACAAATATCAATAAATGTTTAAAAGGTAACGTTTCATTGAAATCTGTTGAATAGAGTGTAAATTTACTTTGTGGGTAACGTTAGATTAATGCTAAGCTGATAATCACCCGTTAATGAAGATCATTATCTTCATTTTTTTACTGTCTGTAGACAAGATTTTTACAAACTGGTAACGGACATAGTAATGCAGCCTGCAAATGAGATTTTTTTGTATTGCATTAGTGAAGCGCGCTAGAGATATTATTAAGTTTATTCATGTAACGTTAACTTATCTTACGTTACCATCTGACACTGCTGTGTGTTGGTGGTGGTTTGTGTTAGCTCAAATGCACGAGTAATTAGTCGCGGAATAAAGTGATAAAATCGTAATTTATTCGTTAGAAGTACATAACCTCTTAGAACACTGATAACTGCCAATGATTATATTTGTTTATATTTTTTAGGTCAAGCATTGGAATACGATTTTTTCGGGGAGAGAACACCCAAATAGAGACAAATCCACCAACTACAGTAAGTTGTTTTTGTTTTGTTTCTTGTCAATTTTACACACTCTTTTGAAAACCTACACTGGGATTAATAAAGTATGATTCTCATCATCAAAGAAAGACATTTACTGATAGAAAGTCAGAGTAACTTTTTGTACTTTTGTCTTTCTTCCTATGAAGTGCCGCAGTGAAAGGTCATGTCACCTACCTTCATCAGTCCTGGAAAACAGTAAGGGAAAGACCCTCAGTAGGGATGGGACGGTATGAAAATTTCATATCATGATTATAGTGTCCAAAATAATCGTGATTATCAATATTATCACGGTTTTGTTAAAAATTTATGAAAGTGCTCAAAAAGAACTGATGCTCACACTGAAAACATTTCAACAAGTTTTATAATTGAAAATCAACAAACAACAAATAAAACAAGCCTCTCTATGCAGCTTTTTTAAAGCAAGATTCTATTCTATGGCATTTGCTTCTTTTTAATGCCCGTTGTCAATAGCAACGCTTTATTACACAGCGCACATCTATATCACAAAGGACGCGCGCTCTTGTTTCATTCAAATACAACTTGCCGTCTTGCGTCTCCGGTTTTTGATTGTATTGCAAAAATGAAATCAGAGTTGATTTATTGTTTACATAGTTTGATAATATTGGTGTGATATATCTCGTCTGGACGATTGTTTTACAAAATGAATTCATAAACAGGTAAGATTTAAAACATTAGCTAATCTCATCATCAATTCAATATGTCCCCGTAATTATGTGGTAAAAATAAAATCGGTTTAATACGTGATGTATCTATACTTTACTATCCCTTAAAATATCACTCTTAATAATAGTCTTGTTTGAAGTAGTTCGTTCGTCTTTGGCTCAAATCCACTTGCTACGAACTTTTCTTCGCGGAAGCTTCACGTCTATTTCAAGTGAGTGACATAAAATGTTTCAACTCAAAACAACATTTTCGTGCCCAATTGTTTCCCAGACGTAGTTTTGGTATTAAGGTCAAAGTTAACTTGCCTTGCGTTCGGGTGATGATCACACAAGACGACTCGGCAGATTTGAAGTGTTTCTATTGCAGTGACTTTTTGTTCGGCAGACAGGGTGACCATCCTCGATCAAGCTTCCCTCAGGACTTTTGTAAAACCCAAAATATGACCACACCTCAGATTTGGTCCTTTTAAAAGGCTGAAAAACCTCCTGAGCACGGTCACTGCCTTCCGCCATTCCTTCTCGAAGAGTAATTTTAAAAAAATATTGCGTGCTGCGCGCCTGCGTCAGACTGGCCGACAGGATTCAGTGAGTTATTAAAATCGTGATAATCAAACACGGTTTTAATGATAATTAAATTTTAAACGATAATACTAACCGTCAGTACATTTTATCACGGTTTATCGTGAAACCGGTTATCGTCCCATCCCTAACCCTCAGACATGTCATAACAGGATAAAGGCTGCAGGTAACATTATATTATGGCTTAATTTTGATGTACCAGTTGGCTTTTTTGTGTGCTTCCCTTTCTATGATACACATTTTTCTGATGGGATTGCCATGCTTTTTAAATGTGCGTTTACATTTTAATCATGTAATAACTAACAGTCTCAAAGATGACAGTACTCTGTTCATGTTGTGTGAATGTGTTATAATGGCAAACGTTTGTAGTATTAAATACATTTTAAGATTGTTTATGGAATGGTAAAAAAAAGTCCTGCTTTTTTAGGGCTTTTTTAGAGCTTTTCATTGAATCATTTCTTGTTTCCCCTTCCAGACTCACCAAGGATATGATTACTGGCAATTTGGTGGAGGATTTATCTTTAGCTGCTATCACTTCAGGTATGCATTCATCAACCTTTTATGATATGATTTTACTCAATTTAATAAAAATGTACATTACCGTTCAAAAGTTTGGGGTCAATATGATTTTTTTTAATATATAAAATAGAAATACTTTTCTTCAGAAAGGACACATTAAATTGATCAAAAGTGACAGTAAAGACATTTATAGTAATGCAAAATATCTAATTTTTTTAAAATTAATTGCTTTTCTCTTGAACTTTTAACGAATCCTGAAAAATGAATCACGGTTTAAAGGGATAGTTCACTTTGAAATAAATTTTTGATATGTTTTATCTTACCTCAAGGGCATCCAAGATGGTGTCTTTGTTTCAACAGTATTTTCAATTTTGACATTTTTAGGTCAAACCGTTCTTGTCTGTCAGTCATGTAATGGAAATTTAAGGGGCCCACCTCAAAGAGCATGCTCAGAGAAGTCCAAATTAAACATGATTTAATGACTCGTAAATGTAAATACACATTGATGGCCTAAGACACGAAACGAGCGGTTTGTGTGAGAAAACGAACTGTATATCGTTTTTTACCTCTTGTAACCACAGCCACGTCCGACTGATCTTAAGGGATGGGCACTTCGGTCTGCGCATGCGCCGGGAGTGATCTCTTGCGCGTCTACGACACTCATTGTTTACACATAGATTCGGAAGTTTTATTGCGATTTCCTATATATCTAAATATGTTTAAATCACAGTGAAAGTTAAAACTTCCGAAATCTCTATGTAAACAATGAATCACTTCCGGCGCATGCGCAGACCGATTATGCCTTCAGATCACTTGGACGTGGCTGTGGTTACAAGAGGTAAAAACGATATAGGCCTAAATACTGTTCATTTTCTCACACAAACCGCTCTTTTTGTGTCTTAGGCCATCATTGTGTACTTACATTTACGAGTCATTAAATCATGTTTAATTTGGACTTCTCTGTGCATGCTCTTTGAGGTGGTGACCATAGACCTCCATTATATGACTGAAAGACAAGAACGGTTTGACCTAAAAATGTCAAAATTGAAAATTAAGAGATCAGATGCAAAAGCCTCTAAGTGCTATTTGAAATTTTCTTCTAAAATGACCATTTTTATCAAACTTGTATATTTAAGTTCAGTAATTTCACTTAAATGACAATTAATAGGTAATCTTCATTGCCATTAAAGTGAAATTAGTGAACTTAAATATACAAGCTTGATAAAAATGATCATTTTAGAAGAAAATTTCAAATGGCACTCAGAGGCTTTTGCATCTGAACTCTTTAAATACTGTGGAAACAAAGACACTGGATGCCCTTGAGGTAAGCTAAAACATATCAAAAATTAATTTCAAAGTGACCTTTAATATTAAGCAGCAATCAATTCCACCTTGGGGCTCTGAAGAACTGCTTGTGAAGTTTGATATTGTACATTTATATCTGAATACATAACGTGTTTTAGAATGGATAGTGTTGTATACTTTTTCAACTCGACTGTTATTGATCAGTAAAGTGAAAATCTTGTAAATTATTTTGTATTCAGTTTTTACTGTTTTTGCTTTTATTTATGGGCTACAGGATCGTACAGAGAGCAGACAAGAAGTGAAGAGGGAAAAAGAGGAAGCGATGGCATCAGAACGGACCTCGAGCTGGGACTCTACTAGAGCAATGCACACGACTGTCGCATTTTATTGAGATGCTAAGTTTTTTTTCTACTGTTACTGTACATTTTAAATATTAAATGTTTTACTGTAATTGAACAAAAACTGTCTTTTAAGTATTCGATTCAGATTTGTACTTTACTTTACTTTGAAAACACTGCAAGTTAAAGTTTTCAGATGTAGAAAGTATTTTTAGACTTGTTTTTGTTTTCCAAAATAAAACTTGTTTTACAATCCTGAGCATGTGCACCCTTTATTAAATGTGTTTGTAATTAAGCCATTGCTGTCAGTCATTTGACATTAATAATTTTTTTAGTGTAGGCTACAGAATATACAGTTAATCACTAAATCAGTTAGCATTGTCATGATCGTGTTCCAAATTCAAACTACATGTATAGCCTAATTGTTTTCCCCCATGTTGAAAGGTAAGACTGAAACAACGTCACGATAGCAACGTTTCAATTTGCAAAACCGAAGCATAATTAAATGTTGGTTTAACTTCGACATACAACCTTTACTCACCCATATTGAAAGGGGAGACCATGAAACAACGTCGCGACATCAACAGTGAAACAACATTCATGATGTCAACGGTGAAACAACGTTGCAAAATCAACGTTGATTAGATTTGCAAAATCGAAACATAATCCAATGTTGATCCAACCTTGGTCCCTGACGTTGTTTCACCGGTGAATCAACGTTAAAATGCCAGCTGGGTCACATTGATCAAATAAATGCAGCCTAGTTGAGCAGGATAACAGAAAACTTCTGCATTGTAACATTGAAACTTTTTGATTGATGTGTTTACAGTTCCATCTGCTTCAACACTACCACAGTCCAGTTCTACAAGCCAGCAGATTCAAGGTACGAAGAAAGACTAATGTATACAGATGACGTATGAATCACCTCTGTTTAATCTGTCTTTTTGATATATATATATATATATATATATATATATATATATTGAAGGGCATAGGCATACAATAATGTTATTTGAAGCATTAATTAAATAAATGTTAAAATTGGTAGATTTTAATTATACTGTAATGCTGAATGGCTATAATTACTAAAATTGAGGGAAAAAAAATCAGAGAGAGAGAGAAATGTTTTCACAATGTTTTCATAGAGCTATTTGACGGCTTGAAGAGGAGAATACTGCTGAAACTTGAGCAAATCCATGCCGATATTAAAACAGCTATTGGCCTGCAGTCAGTGAAACAGCAAAACACCTCTGCTTCGGACCTATTCGACGTGCTAGAGGAGCCTTGCAAATCAGTGGAGGAATTGGAAGAGCTCTGCAAAAAGCTAAAGGCTGTTGAGTTTCGCAAAAAAAGATTGTATGTGCTGAAACAAATGCTGTTTTATATTATGCTGCAATTTCTTGGCACTGTTCTTTGATAACTGATTGTTGTTTGTATGTAGATTTGATATCTTTGTCTTCAGAGTGCGGGCAGTTTGGGGGATGGCATTAGAAGAATGCTTAAAAAAATAGGAGAGAATTCCCTTTGGGCTGAATACAGCTACAAAGGGAGAAAAGGAAAACGGGCATTTCAGCAACTGCTGATCAATGATGCGATCATACGCAAGTTCAAAACATTACTCAAGAGATCCTGTCTCCAAGATTGCAAAATGCACAAGTTGAATGTGATAGATTCATTCTCTTTGATTGAAATATTCATTCAAACTTAGCATATAAATATATAAGTGGAAAATGGTCTATGGTTATAAGAACATGATGGATTTTTAATACTATCAAGAATAATACTTTCTACATGTGTCTGTGATTTAGTTATATTTACTGTGAACTATTACTTGAAAGTGCCTGCAGTAAGGTGTATCCACACCACAAGACCCAGAGTGTGGAAGACATGATAGCCGTGACCCTTAAGCATGCTCCACATCGTGAGAAAATAAAGAAAAATGTTCAGGTAAGAGGATTTTGTCCAAAATCTCACAATATAAGTAGGCTTATTTTTAAAAGAGTAACACTCGAGAGTGTTATGTATATTTATTTGTCTTAATTTATTATATTTGCAATGAACGATTAGTTACCTTTACAACATTAAAATATCATTAAAAAAGCGCATTTAGTTTCATATTTGTTGAAATATTATATGCTTTTTTCCCCATGTTGATTATGAAAAGTGAACAGCACGATTAAGATAGGATTTGCATTGCAATTATAGACTTTCTAAAGACATGAAGTGGGTTGATTTAGACTCATTAGCCTGTTTGATAGAAAGCCTTTCTTTAACTCTTTCCCCGCCAAACACGGAATTTTCCGTGTTTAATGAAAAAACGCATCTGCGCCAAACACGGAATTTTCCGGGTATCCGTGTTTTAGGTGGTATACGGTAAGGAAGACCCGCGCGCATGTCCTGAATGATTGCGCAACTCTTTGTTTAGAGAAACAGATTGCAATCGTCTCAAACAGTGGAGAAGTGAGAATGTATCAGACAGACAATGCAGAGGTATATGGCTGAAGTACTGGAGGTTAATGGACTCGGAGTCCGATCACTCTTTATTTGATAATTCTGAATCTGATCGGGACGAAGTAGTCAGTGAGAGAGATCCACATGTTGTCACAGAAAGTTCTAGCCATGGACGTGCCGCAGATAGATCGTATAATATTATGACACTATAATATGTATGTGTGTGTGCAGGCATTTATGTGTGGCTGTCTAAATATGAAGGTGTAATTGTCAAATTATTTCTCTCTTTGTGCACATTTACCACATTGTAATATGTATTTGTGTGTATGTGTGTGTGTGTGTGTGTGTGTGTGTGTCTAGGCCTGTTTATTGTAATTCCAATTATTCATTATTCACAGGTAGAACACAGAGAGGCAGAGGCAGAAGTTTTATTGCAAAAGTTAAATTTCCCTTACATCCTGGGAAATTTGATATATTTTACATTTATTTTATGTTTTTAATTTATTTTGGAAAGTTTTATATATGAAGGAAACAACATCTGAATGTATTCTGCTTTTAAATGCACTTGTTTGATAAAAATACCTTTTTCTCAGTTTTTTGTCCAAAATGTTGTGTTTTTGACAAAACCTACCTCTGTTCAAGAGGCAATAAAAAAAGAACAGATGAAGATAAAATAAAAACGTTTTTTTTGCCTAAAAGCAGAGGCTCAGATCTTTATTTTTATATATATCATCTTCATATATTCATGGAAGAAAATATTCAGCGGGGCATTCAAATTTAGCGAAAAACGTCAAAAACCCTGGCGGTGGCTGGCAACTTTTTTTTAAAACGCTGGCGGGGAAAGAGTTAAAGTGAATTTACAATTTAAAAAAGGGAGATGACATGTTCAGTTAACTTAGTAAAAGCAAAAAAAAAAAAAGTTAAGTTGACCATTTAATAACTGGTTTGATTTACCTAAGAACATCAATAAAATATTAAAATGATTCATGGTTATACTCACACTTATCGTTCAACAATTGCCGAACAGCCGCCGTTCTTCTTCATGTGGTTTAATGCGGGTTGCGAGCGAACCAACAGGATTACTGTGATGGAGTGTGAAGAGAACTGGTTTTCTCACGTAAAATGATTTTTTAATCCACTAATCCTAATAAACTCACTATTGCATTTAGGCCTATTTGTTTCCTGCATTTAGTAAATACAATTACTATATTTATAGTAGGCTATAGCCTATTTAGTTATCTTACATTATTGAAATCATCCTATATTAAAGAAAGAATATTGACCAGCTGAATCTAACATTTAATTTCAACAAATGTAAAAGTCAATGAAAAAATTATGTGCAATTAATTGTATGACACTGAAATATACTTTTCATTTTGCAGCAGCAGGAACAGAGAAAAGGTGTGCAAGACGACACTCATCGTTTTTGAAGAAGAATAAGACTTTTTTGATTAATTAAATATTATTTTATTTATTATTTTATATTAAATTAAATAAAACATTTTCATTGGTTTTCATTTTTTTCCTTAAAGTAAAATCAGATTATTAAAATGAATGTATAGCCTTTAATTGCCAAATTTTCATGTCTCAATAACTTTGTAAAATAACTTAAAATGTGTTTGTGTGTTAAAAAATTATATGTTTTTTTATTATCTTGCTGTGGAAAATGTAATTAAATAACTAACTGCTGATTAATAAATTATATAAATGTTTTATAGTTGATTGATTGAGGCACCCCAGATAGCAAACTGACATTGAATCAACGTGGAAATATGACATAGAAACAACGTTGATCTGACATTGTTTTGCTCATCGAATTAACGTTGAACCAACGTCAGACGCGTCATTCTTTCAAAACTAACGGAAAATCAACTTGAAATCAACGTGTTGTTTCAACGTTATGAAAGCAAACTAATTTTCGATTTTCATTTAGCTTTGAAGAATGCCGCGTCTGACGTTGGTTCAACGTTAATTCGATGAGCAAAATCAACGTAGTTTCAATGTCATGAGAGATGTCGTTTCCACGTTGATTGTTGTCAGTTTGCTGTCTGGGACGTGTGTGCCACATTGATGCATGCGGTGCTACACACAGGTAACACACTGAATGTTATTTTAAATGCTGATTAAATGTGGTCTTTTTGTTTTTTACTTGGTATTCTATTTTGGTCGTTGCAGCGACTACGGTCCTTTGATGTTAGGCTATGTGTTTGTTCCTTGGTTGTTCAGTTTTGTGTTATCAGACTAATGCTACACTTCAAAAGGGTGTTAAGATGTTAAAAGGACTTCTAGTGAACGTTCCGTAAAGGTCCCCGAAAGTTTTCTAAACGTCCCGTGAAGGTCCCTCAAGACGTCCTGGCTGCGAATGTTTAAAGAACCCTATACGAAGACATTCAGGGAACGTTCTGGGGACATATTTTTGTTAGCATATCGTTGTGTGACACGAGAACCGCAGTTAGAGCTGAAGTTCGGTCGGTTATATCTTCAGACAGAGAACAGTGTTGTAAGCTTGGCTGAGTGCACGAGGAAGATTGCCCGGAGTCGTGAGTTTCATTCAAAACATGAATGAATCTGGCCGTGTGTCATCTGGCCCGAGTCTGGTTTCCCAAGTCAAATATATGAAATGCAAAACTACATAAAACTACTCTGCATTTTGCCAAATGTAGTATCAGCTTGCTAAAATAAGTAGGCTATATACATGTTTTAAAGGTTTTTGTAACTTATTGGTTACCAAAAAAATACTAAAATG